AAAGGAGTTATTCTCCTGATTTGGTTGAATCCCCAACTTATAAAACCAAACGATTCTAGAATTCATTTATGTAATTATTTTATGTGGATGCCAGATTCGGCTTTAAACGATCTTAACGAAGATATTCGCGGCGAAGAAAGAGGCGCGCGGTAGAGACTCAAGCAGACGAATCGTTGATGAAAGCATGATCGTTCTTCGGAAGAGGATTCATGAGATGAAGATGATTGAGAGGAACTACGAGCTGCCTGCGGACTGGATGGATTGGGAGAAACATGTCTATACGAGCTACGATTCGATGATTTGCGAGATCATGGGAGTGTTGTAGTCGCAGTTGATGAACACTCACCCCAGTGTCACGTTGGGGATGATGGTCCTGATTGCGCTTAGCTTGCCGATCTCTACCGCTGTGGTTTTCTCTCAATTGACGGAGATGGCTAAGGGGATTTTGGCCGCCAGCATTGATGCTGTATTTCGAGAAATTGAAATTACAAAATCATCATTTTTTTCCACGTAATTTTTCTAAAATAAAAGTATTAATTCGTGGCAAGTTAATGGGCCAGCTAGGCACTTATGTGACGGAAGGACCATTTGGGTTCTAAAAAAATAAAGTTTAAGGATGGTTTGGGTCCCTTCTGAAGTTAAAGGATGAACTAAGTTTTAAAATGAAAGTTTAGGGACGAAATTGGGTATTAAACCAAAAAAAAAATCATAGTCAGCGGCCATTCAGTCAAACCCACAAACTTTGACCAAAAAATCCACTGTTCATATTTTCCACGGTCAAACATCCCCTATGTTTCCTGGAAACTCCACTGGAGAATGAAAAGACCAACACGCAGAGCCTTTCACTAAGGCGATGGCGATGGCTATGCGTGACCATATATTCTCTTTCTCCCCGTCTTATATCATTTATTTCCTTCCCTTCTTCTCCCTCCATTTTCTCCCCGACACCTCCGTGGCGTCGTCCTCTAGCAGCCTCGACACGTCGGCGAAACTCTTGTCAACAGAACGGCTTCAGCTTCTTGCCATGAACACTTCCTTTACTGACTTCCTTCTCTCAGCCGACGAACCTGTGACGGCGAGCATTGGTAATACTAATAGCAAGCGTGGTGGTGGGTTATCGTTGTCGGATCGGATAGCTGAGAGGACGGGATCCGGTGTGCCCAAGTTCATGCCGATTCCTCCTCCTTCACTGCCCATCTCTCCTCCTACTGTTTCTCCTTCTTCTTACTTGGCCATCTATGCTGGATTGAGCCCGGCGGCGCTTCTCGAATCCCCTGTTTTGTTGAATTCATCCACCGTATGCTTCTTTACCAAGCTTCGTCATTTCCTCCCTCCTCCTGTTTTTTTTTTTTTTCCTCTCCGTTCTCTGTGTTTACAGAGAAAGTAAGGGATTTGCAGAGAAGAAGGAAACCTGAAATGTTTTTCTTCTCTTGGGTTTTATGACAGAAGTTAGTTGAGTTCATTTTGTTGATAATTAGCTAAATAATTACTTTCTGTTTGGTTGCCAAGAAAGTTTAGGATTTGAAGAGGAAATTGTGAAAATCAATGGATTTTCTTCTTGAGTTTTACCAGTAATTGATTTTTTCTTTTTGTTCTTCAGACAAGTTCTTTATGATTTTGTTTGTCTAACTGCCTGAACTTTGTTTTTGTTTCATGTTCAGATTCTGCCATCTCCGACGACTGGAACTTTCCCATCTCAAGCTTTCAATTGGAAGCCGAACTCCGGTGACAAGCTGCCAAATGTCAAACAAGAAGACAAAAACATGTCTGATTTCTCTTTCCATCCTCAACCAATTTTCAAATCTTCAACTGTAAGTAATCAATTTCAATCATTTCAACTCAAAATTCATTTTCGGTTTTTCATCTTATTCACTCTGTTTCAATTTCCAGAAACCCACAAAGGCGGACGATTTTTCATCCGGGAAGAACATGGTAAAACCTGAATTCACTCAGATGAAGAGTTTGTCATCTGAGATTGCCAACATACAGAGCAATTCCCAGACCAATGGCGGGTTCCAAACTGAGTATAACAACTACCAACAGCAATCACAGCCAGTCAGGGGGAACGGAAAATCAGATGATGGCTACAATTGGAGAAAATATGGCCAAAAACAAGTTAAGGGAAGTGAAAACCCGAGGAGCTACTACAAGTGCACGTACCCCAGTTGCCCTACAAAGAAGAAGGTAGAGAGGTCTTTAGATGGACAGATAACAGAGATAGTGTACAAGGGCAGCCATAACCATCCCAAGCCTCAGTCGACTAGGAGATCATCTTCTTCTATGGCAGTTCAGAGTTCTAATGCTCCTAGCAATGAAATCCCGGATCAGTCATTTGTAACCCAAGGTAGTGGACAGATGGATTCAAATTCAACGATTTCAATAGCTGATGATTTTGATAAGGGTTCTCGGAAGAGAAACCTAGGACGAGATGAGTTTGATGATGATGAATCTGAGGCCAAAAGATGGTAAGCTTATTGCATATGGGTTGCTTACCATAAAACACTTTCTTTGTAATCTAACATCGATATTATTATCTGATTACAGGAAAAATGAAGGTGAAAATGAAGGGATTTCAGCACCTGAAAGCAATACAGTGAGGGAACCTAGGGTTGTAGTTCAAACAACCAGTGACATCGATATTCTGGATGATGGGTATAGATGGAGGAAATATGGGCAGAAGGTGGTCAAGGGAAACCCAAATCCAAGGTAAAAAGTTCAAACCTTTACTCAATTTTTTGAAACATGTTTGTTTAGGAGTAAGTAATATGTTGGAAACCAGAAGGCTTGTGTTCTCTCTTGAAGTGGTTGAACCTTCTTTTGTTTCTGCAATTGGAAATGTTTCTACTTAAATTCTATGGGAGTGTTGTCATTAATTTGATGTTTTGGTCATGGCTGCAGGAGTTACTACAAATGCACTCATCCGGGATGCCCGGTGAGGAAGCACGTAGAGCGAGCATCTCATGATCTCCGGGCAGTGATCACGACTTATGAAGGAAAGCACAACCATGATGTCCCTGCGGCTCGTGGTAGCGGGAACCACAGGTCTTTAGCGGACAATGGTGCAACAAATGTGATAAAGCCATCAACTGTGAACCATGAGTGGAGCAACAAGTCCAATGCAAACGCGATTTGTGGTTTGAGGGGAGCAATAACATCAGAAGGAGAATCACCATTAATTACACTAGAGATGTTGCAGAGTCCTGGAAGTTTTGGATTCTCTGGATTTGGAAACTCAATGGGATCTTTTATGAACCAATCTCATGGACACGATGTAATTGCCAAAAGCAAGTATGAGGCAAGAGATGACATGTTCCTCGACTCTTTGATGTATTGAGATGTACAGGGTTTTGGTAGGAAGGATAAGAAGCCCAGGTTCATTTGATTAATTAATTACATTCTGTTAGTTAGTTAGTTAGTTAGTTAGTTAGTTAGTTAGTTAGTTAGTTATATATTCAGATATCAATTAGAACTCTTTCTATCTCAAAATAAGTGTTTTTATTTGACCTACTCTATCCCAAAATAACTATTATTATAACTATTATTATTTAATTTTGAATTTGTTCTTTTTTTTTTTGGATAAAATGTGAAAATTATATTTATCCGTAAAACTATTTGTACAAAAAGTTCGGCAGCAACTTGTTGCTACTACAAAACAAAAAAACTACGCTCTATACAACAATCTCAAAAACCCCATTTTAAAGCAATTGATGCACTTAAAATAGAGGGAAAAGGCCTAGCATTTTCCAAAAGTTTGTGTCTCACGTCAAAACAAATCTCTTCACACACTACATCTGTTGTCTTGTAGACATGTTGGTGGATTCTCCTGTTGTCTTGTAGACATGTTGGTGGATTCTCCTATTCCTTTCCATCCAAACATGGTAGACTGCAGCATTCCACATTAACTTGATGAGTGTTTGATACAAAGACTTTCTTCTTATTCGTTTCCCCATCCATAACACAAGCTGTTGCCAAGAATCCAAATAAGGAATTTCAGACATGGCACTCAAACTCTTCCACACACATTTTGCATAGGTACACTTAAAGAAGAGGTGCTCAACAGTTTCTGATCCATTGTTGCATAGGACACAAGTGTCATCTATGTTAGGGGACCATTTCTTTTGCCTTGCTTTGGTTGTTAACCTGTCCAATATGGCTAGCCAACTAATAAAGCTATGTTTTGGTATTTGCCGAGAAAACCAAACCAGCCTATGCCAAGGAACCTTGGACTGCTTACTTTTGATCCAGTGCCATGTTCTCCCTGTAGTGTATGTCCTTGAAGTTGAAGGGATCCATATAACAGTATCCTTGTCCCTTTTCTTAGGATATAGTCTGTCACATAAAGCAATTTGAATGTCTAGCAATTGAGGTGAGTGAGTTGGTGGCCGTTTCCAAAAATTACCATTAACCACCACCTCTAGCTTGGCTTGGGAAGAAAACCCAGAATCTTGGACAATTCGTGCACCAAAATTTTCAACTAGAGGCCCTGAAGGGTGCCAGTTATCATGCCACAAATATATGTCCTTTCCATCACCTGGAATGTGTTTAATGAGTTTCCTAGCTTGCTGTCTAAGATTGAGGAGTTTCCTCCCACCCCATGATGCATCAGAAGGAACTCTTATAGACTAGAAACTATAGCCCTTCAATAGATATTCATGGACCCAGGCCACCCAAATAGATCCAGCTTTTGTAAAGAGCATCCAAATAAATCTCATAATACATGCTACATTCCAATGCATCAAACTCTTCAAACCCAGACCACCCTCTTGCTTAGGGTGACACAATGACAGCCAATTCACTTTAGCCCCTCTTGCAGACTCAGTTGAGCTTTGCCATAAAAATGCAGCACATAACTTTTCAACCTCCTTTATAACCTTCTTTGGTAATATGAAGGTAGAACACCAAAAAGTCGTTATTTCCTGGATGACAGAAGAGATAAGCTGTAGTCTACCAGCAAAAGACAAATTCTTAGAGGCCCAAGAGCTCATTCTTTCTGTTATCTTTGAAATCAGAGGCTTTAAGTTCTTCTCTGTCAATTTTCCTGTGATTAATGGCACTCCGAGGTACCTTACTGGGAGGACACCAGCTTTGAACCCATAAGCTGCTGTTAATTTCTCAATTTCCTCACTAGATATGCCACAGCAAAAAATCTCAGATTTGGAATAATTAACCTTCAAACCAGATAACTGATAGAACTGAGTGAGAACATTGTTAATAGCACTTAGAGAGGATGATGCACCATCTGTAAAAATGATTAGATCATCAGCAAAGCATAATAATTCTTACTTTAACTTTATTGTTATTTTTTATTTTAATTAATTATCCTATTATAAAAAATCTTATTTTTTTAAAGCACTACAAAAAAATTAAAATATCATCATTTCTATTTTAAAAATAATTAAAATATTTCAGTTTTTCTTTTAATAAAATTTATTAAATTGATGTAATTTTGAAAGAAAATAAATTTGCTTAAATTTTTACAATATAAATTGGTACTTAGTTTTTTGAAAACATATAATGTAATTTATCCATTTTCCATCAAATAAAAACATATAATGTAAAGCTTAATATGTATTCGAGAATTGAGATTACTATAGTAATTGAATGTAAAAAAAAAAAGACAGATATAGTATAAAAAAAGACATTTGAATCCAATTTAAGGTTTTAATTAAAGGGTAATTTATTAAACTTACAATGTAAACACAAAGTGGTTTTTAAACTGATTTTGATCTAATTTTAAACTAATTTAAAATTTTAAAAAATAATTTATCCAATTTGTAATGTGAATACATAATATAAAGACATAGGGTAATACAAAATGATTTTTTTAGTCTTCTTCTATTATCTCTTTGGGTAGGAGGATTTACAGAGAGAGTGTAAGATATTTTTGGGGTCAAATCCACTTTGGTAAAATTAAAAAAAAAAAAAAAAGGAAACTAGCCTTTAAGCCCAAACTCAATTTGGACTCGATTTGGGCAAATGGCCCAAACTGTGTCTTTATTCCCACTCTAATTGGCGCCTAATTAAAGTCTGTAGTCTCAACTGTATTTCCCTCGGCCTCATAACCGTCTATGGACGATGGACGCCACCGCACTGAAACCAAGCCTCCTAAGGAACATCCTCCTCCTTCGCTTCCTCTCCTTCGCCGTCCTCATCCTCGCCGTCCGATTCACTTATTTAGTCGCCGTCAGAGGCCGATCTTGCGTCTCCGGTAACAATTTCTGCTTCTCCCCCGTCCGTCGCTTCTCCCCACTGCCGCTCAAGAAATCTCAAAGAGTCATCGACTACTACTCCACTGTATTCCAGGATTTGATCTTGGAAGGCTTTTTGTCGCCGAATTCCAAGTCTCTCTGCATTGGAACGCTCACCGGCGAGGAGGTTTACGCTTTGAAACGAATCGGCGTTGCCGATTCAATCGGCATTTCCGACAATGCATCTCCTCCGTTGATCCTACGCGGGCGTCCGCAACACCAGCCGTTCGATGATAATATCTTCGATTTTGAGTATTCGAATTCTCTGGACCAGTCAGGTGGACCATTGGAGTTCGCATCGGAGATCTGCCGGACGCTGAGACCCGGTGGGTTTGTGGTGGTTCACACCGGGGCCAAAGATGCCTACAGTTTGCAATCCTTTCTTGATTTGTTTGATTGCTGCAGACTGAGCAGGTGGCGTGAAATTGAGGGTCCTGATCCGTCGTCAACGGGAATCCGGGAGATCGTAATGAAGAAAGAGATGGAAAAGAGGCATCCATACAGCGGTGGTAGAAAATGCTATGTTCCGGGCTTGAAATGGGAAATAATCCAAAATGCAGAGCCGCTGATCAAGAAAGAACCTCTAAAACCGTGGATTACATTGAAAAGAAACATGAAAAACACAAGGTACTTAACTTCCATGGTGGATATTAGATTCAAACAGAGGTATGTTTACATAGATGTTGGGGCTAGAAATTACGGGTCAAGTATAGGCAGCTGGTTCAAGAAACAGTATCCAAAACAGGGGAAGAGGTTTGAAATATATGCAATTGAAGCCGACAAGGCATTCCGCGAAGAGTACAAGATGAAGAAAGGTGTTAAACTGGTGCCTTATGCAGCCTGGATTAGGAATGAGACATTGTTTTTTGAGATCACTAGAGACCCAAGAGGCAAGGAGGGCAGGGGTAGGGGTAGGGGTAGGATTCACTCGGTGCAGACATCAACAAGGTATGTGGGAGAGGCAGGAAAGATTGAGGGGTTTGACTTTGCAGAGTGGTTGAAGATGGAGGTATGTGACAGAGATTTTGTGGTGATGAAGATGGATGTGGAGGGAGCTGAATTTCATTTGATTCCAAGGTTGATGGAGACAGGAGCAATTTGTATGGTCGATGAGGTGTTTTTGAAGTGTCATTACAATAGACGGCGAAGGAGCCCTAAGTATCACAAAACATATGCTCAATGCTTACAACTGTTTGCTTCTCTGAGAGAGAGTGGAGTGCTTGTGCACCAGTGGTGGTAATCTTTCTTTCATATTCATATCACATTTAAATTTAGTGTTGCTTACAATTCTTTAATCTTTACACTTTTACAGAGATGAGATGAGATGAGATGAGAAGAGAAGAGCTCAATTTCTTCTTTCTTTCTTTCTTTCTTTCTTTTTACTATTATTATTAATTGTACATTGCTAATACTATTACAATTTTTATATATATATATATATAAATCAACCGTGCAATTTGCCTTAATTGGCTTGACAAAATTAATAGGATTCAATTACAAATAAGTACAAGTAATTTATAAAGTAACAAATTGATCTAGCAAATGGGAAATTACTGGTCATTTTAATTGATTGGTCAAAGTTTATATACTTAATTTATCACCACAGAGCTTAGAAAGATGAGTTGAGAAACATTATAGCTTCTACATCTCCGTACAATCCTCCTATCCACCTACTTCAAATATATATTGCATTCTCTTCAACTCCAATCGTCTTTTCTCTCTTTCTCTTTTAATTTCTCGTTGTTTTGTCTCTGTCTCTCCACCTGATTCTTCTCCGGCTGGTTAGCACGATGAGGCAAATCGAAGCAGCATATAATGGCAGTTGGGTGTGCCAGTCACAAAACTACTTTAAAACTAAAGGCATCTTCTACGGTGGGAATCCATTGGGCCACCCCAAGGCGGTCATTCTGGTTCAGCTTTCTTCAGCTGCTTTTTTCACCGTCATCCTTCGAATCCTTTTCAACCCTCTTGGCGAGAGTGGGTTTTTCTCTCAAATGATAGTACGTTTAAAATATCTTAATTCATTTCCTTGATCATATATAAATACGCATGATATACAATTTTATATGGTGCTGGCTGTACAGACGTACGTCCGTAATTATTATTATTATTGTTTTTTCTTGGGGTAATTAATTAATCAAATACGTTTGTTATTAATTTTGATGATATATATATATATATGATCAGGTGGGAATTTTGTTGGGGCCATCAATATGGGGAGCTCAGAACGCTTTAAGGAACGCCATCTTCCCCTTGAGAAGCGTTTATGTGAGCCAAACCTTCTCCTACATTGGCTGCATGTTCTTCCTGTTTCTGGTAGGAGTGCGAACGGATTTAAGCATAATAAAGAAATCGGGGAAGAAAGCGGTGGTCATCGGATTTCTTACCTTCATCCTCCCCCTTTGCCTGAACTTGATTATGGCTGCATTAATTATAAAAAATAGAGGTAAAGTTCATGACGATATGGCACCCAGTTTGGAAAAGTCCATCTATTACATTGCCGCCTGTCAAGCTTTAAATTCCTTTTACGTTGTTGTTTGCCTCCTCACTGACTTGAAGCTTCTCAACTCCGAACTTGGCCGCTTAGCCACCTCCTCTTCCTTAGTTAGCGGTATGTGCTCTTGGGTCACCGCCATCCTCATCTTCACCATCAACACAAATGCAATTACGGGAAGCAACAAACAAGATTCCCTTCTATATATGTATCTCTCTATGGGCAGTTTGATTATTTTTGTTGTCTACATTTTACGTCCCATTACGTTATGGATGGTTAAGCAAATGACGGAGGAGAAATCAGTGAAAGAGGATCATATATTCGGCGTATGTCTCATGGTTTTATCATGTGGATTCTTTGGTGAAGCAATTGGTCAGCACATGATGCTTGGACCCATGATGTTGGGGGTTGCGGTGCCCGATGGACCGCCTTTAGGATCAGCACTGGTGGCTAAACTTGAATCCTATGTCTCCGCCATTCTTCTCCCCAGTTACTTTGTCCTGAGTGGCTCTATAGTAAATGTTTCTACCATACGTTGGAAGACCGTCTGTGTTGTGGAGTCGTTGGCCTTGTCTGCCTTCACCGGTAAACTTCTCGCCACAATGTTACCGGCAATTTATTTCAAAATGCCCCTAGGAGATGCCTTATGTTTAGGTCTCATCATGACTGCCCAAGGCATCACTGATGTTCTCATGATTCAGCATGCCTTTTCTCTCAAGGTACGTACATATGTAATTTTTCGCAATCTTATTTTATCCTCTACAATCAATATATTCATTTACATGTATATATACGACTGTCTAAACTAATATGCTACGTTAATTGTGCGGCCAGCTGATTAGTGTAGAAGCCTATACGGTGATGTCGATTTCAATGGTTTTGATAACTGGAATCACCACGCCCATCATCAAGGTACTTTACAATCCGTCCAAGCGATATGTCTCCCACAAGGTCAGAAGGACAATTCAACATACGCGGACAAACGCCGAGCTCCGAATGATGGCTTGCATTTACACCGAAGACCAAACGCCATCCATCATCAATCTCCTCGAGTTGTCCAATCCAACGTCCAGAAACCCCATTTGCTTTTACGTCGTCCATCTCCTCGAGCTCACTGGTCGCTCAGCTCCGCTCCTCGTAACTCACCACCCAGGGAAAACCCAATATGCCCACTACTCGGAGCACATCGTAAATGCCTTCAGATTGTACGAGCAGCAAAATCGTGGGATTCTGGTGGTCAACTTATTCACCGCTGTTTCTCCATACGCCACCATGCACGACGAAATATGTTCCCTTGCCATAGACAAGAGAGTTGCAATGGTGATCATTCCGTTTCACAGGCAATGGGCGGCGCATGGGGCAATGGATGATCAACTTCCCGGACGCCAAGTCAGATCCGCAAACTGCAATATCCTCCACAACGCACCTTGCTCTGTGGGTATCTTAGTGGACCGAGGTACCGGCACCATATCCAGCAGTAGTTTGTGCAACATTGGGGTGATTTTCGTGCAAGGACCAGATGACAGGGAAGCCCTAGCATATGCTCTCCGCATGGGAGATCATCCTAACGTACGCCTCACGTTGGTCCGCATAATTGACACCAACAAGAAAGGCACTAATAGTACTACTTGTCAAAGCAATCACCTTGACGATGAAATCATCAACGAATTTAGGATTGCGATGGTGGGCAAAAAATATCATACTTACAGGGAAGAAGGCGTGAGTGACAGTGTGGGAACAGTAGGCGTTATTCGATCGGTGGAGAATTCATTCGACCTAATTCTGGTGGGAAGACGCCATGATAAGGACTCACCACTGTTCTTAGGGTTGACAGAATGGAATGAATTTCCGGAGTTGGGTTTCGTCGGGGACATGCTAGCTTCCTCGGATTCCAACTGTCATGTATCGGTGTTGATAGTGCAACAACAAACTTTTGCAAACGAATTAAGAGGCAGGGACAAGTTCCTATCCAAAGATTCATCTGTAATTCTAGATATGCCCCGGAATACTGGAAAAGTGTGGCCCATGATTTCTTAATTTTAAATAGCTCCTTAGACTATGTATACAACTATGATTAAGAAAAATGCCTAATTTTTTTTTTTTCAAATTTTAAAATTTTGAAGATTAATTTTCGGGTTGATAAAGAGTGAAAATCAAAACATTTTGATACTTTAAAATGTCAGTATTCTCTATGAGATTATTCAAATGCTTGTAATGAATTTTTTTTGTTTGTTGATTTATTAAAAACATTTAAGGATATGAACTCTATTGTATTTCAATTAATATTGTTATTTTCCACCTCATCTTCATCATTCAATAAATTCTTAAATAAAGAAACACAAAATTCATATTCTTATTTAGAAAAAGAAGAAGAAGAAGAAGAAGGTTTATTATCTAATTTAAAAACTTGAAAAAATTATATATTTAAATAAAAAATTAAAAAGTTTGCATCACGCTTTTTTCAGACATTTTATTCAATAAAAGTTGTGAGATGACTCTTAGAACCTACAACTAAAACCAAGCATTAAGTTAGACATGTGTCCTACACATCGAGCATTATAATCAAGATGCCACACCTAGACACAACCGAAACCTAGCAACCTAATCTGCTAAACATAGAAATTATAAAAGAAATCTAATAGGGACTAAACTGAAGATTCAACTAAAGTCAAAAGGCTTGTCATGCAAAATATCCAATAACCATCTTCCCTTTCAAGACCTTCTCCCGAATCCTACATTGTTGTCCCACGCGGCAGTATCAACGCCCACCACGCCATGGCCTTTTCAGCCCCCCAACCTGGTTTCCGAACACAGCATCTCCACCCTCTCATCCCTCCCAAGCGATCGGCAGCCTCCTCTGATGCCCTGGATAACAAAGTAGAGTAATACAAGGGAAATCAATAATGAAGAAGAGAATGATTTCCGATGTATTGCTCCAATGGTAAATACAGAGATGAGATATTGAGGGATTACAGAGAGAGACAAGGAAAAAGATACAATTCTCAGCACACTTCCAAATCCCAGCCCCATTACATATATTCTCTCCCCTCTGTCAAACTTTTTGTCATTCTCCTCTCCCCATGGAACACATGTCAATGGTGAAAACCTAATTTGATAATAAAAAGAAATGATAGATAAATATGCTTCTTGACTTATTTATCCTCATATCAACTTTCTCCCCCCTTGAAGACATCCTTGTCCTCAATGATGGAAATCTGGATACTTCTGTTGTAAATCAAAGAGGAATTCCCATGTTGCATCTTCAAGGAAAGAGTTGAACCCACTACTAAAATCCCCTTTTTAGCAACATGGAAGCACGTTGCTGAAAGTGCTTCCCATGTTGCTTAAAATCCTTTGGCAACGTAGTTCTTGTTGCTAAAAGTTTTGTTGGAAAAGCTTTGGTGGGTGATACATTACCAACAAGCATTTTGTTGTTGATTCATGGTGCATTTTTAGTAACATAAGGCACATTGTTGAAAATCTAGTTTCAGCAACATACCTTATATTGGTAAAAATATTGACCAAAATCTAATGGAGGATTCCAGTAACTTTTTTCACCATTTTCAGCAATATAAGCCACGTGCTGAAAATATGGTTTCACCAACGTGGCTTATATTGTTAAAAATTAGTGGTAAATCGATGAAAATAATAGTTGGAATTTGGCACCATAATTGATCCCATTTTCAGTAACGTGGTTTGTGTTGCTAAAAGTCAAAAGGAGTTTGCTCTCTCACTGTTCAGCAATATATGCCTTGTTGCTTATTACTTCTAAATGGTACAGCGTATTTTACCAACATAGCCCTTATTGTTGACTTTCAATTTTCAACAAAAAAAACTATATTGCTGATAGTATCCACAATAGTACAACTATCCACAATAATACAGCAACCTATTATCAGTAACATAGTTCTTCTTGATGATAGTAAGGCTATTTTTAATAACATAATCCTTGTTACTAATGTTTATTCAAATAGTACCAATGGCATTTTCAGCAACATACCCCTTGTCAGTAATGTATTAAAATGCTTGATAAAAACAAATTTAACCTACCTATATTTTGAACACATATTCGTCATTTTGAATTATATGACAATAAATATATTGCATTAATTTTATATTATCATTATTAAATTTAACAATGTTATAGTATTTAAATATGAAATTCACTTTTTTTATAATCACTAAATATTAAATCTCTTGATATCTCACATATAATATAATTAATTATATCTGCAAAAAATAATTATGACTAATTAGTAAATATTCATTAACTAAATACCATTTATAAATTTTAGCTTAATAAATTTAAATTAAATAACTCAAGTCAATTAATGTAAAATTAGGTATCTTACCAAACTTGAATTTTATACTTTATTAAGAATTACCTACAAAACAAATAAAATAAAAAAATTGTTAATTAGTGTATATATAATTATTTATAAATATGAACTTTCAAATAAATTGATACCTACTTAATAATGTAATATTTACAAAAATATTTTATACAAT